TCTTATGCCTTATCATCAATATATAGTGAATTATCATTATTATGAGATATTGAAAGTTACTCATTTTAATGGTCAGGAAAGCACGTTGTTCTTAATTTTTCGTATAATGTTGCATTAAATCACGTTTAAAATTCCCAACAATTTTACGTAATAATAATAAGTTCGCTTATTATTGCGATAAATTACATGTGGAATATAACTTTACATACTCACTCGCAAGTTTAGATACATGAGCAATGAACGCAATAACGATGGCACAAGAATTAAGCGTTGTATCTGAAACATAGATAATTTTTTGTCATAAATTAAGTTATATCATGTACATGATTCATGTGATTTACACATTACATTAGACAACAGATGGCAGAACATTTCGTGAAATTTTAAATTAACTTTATCGAAAACTTTTCGATCAGTATTGATTCAGTTCATTTTCGAACTGTTGTAAATTTTTTTACTAATTGCATCATGTTCAAATTATAGCCACTAAATATATCTTTTATACCATTAATTATTTAAAAGAAACAAAAATAGTAAATCTAGTTTCATAAAGATATGAGGTAACTCAACTTGTCAAAAATTATAGTTTTGTATACATTGCACAATATGCTTTCTCTAAGAAATGTAGAAATATTTAATAATACACTAGTAAAATATATTTATAAATATATGCAATAAAAAATGATATATAAGAAATATAAATTCTATATATTTTATGCAATGTGTTGAACATAAGAAAATCAGAAAATTTTAATCATATTTATAATAAACTTATAAGTCCAACATATTAAGTAATTTTTAACATAATTTAAAATTAAATGAAATAAATTGATTTAATTTTTATAATACTAGTTTCCATGATACATTCACAAAATGTACTTATTGAGTTTGTTTACAATACAAGTTACACAGGTTTTACTATACAATAATATTAAAACTTTTCATTACCATAATTATTTACTTAAAATAAAATCTATGATTATTTTTTACTTATAATAATTTCTTTCATAAATTATTGAAGTTTTTTTACTTCTAAAATACTCTTGTACTGTTATAATTATGCACGATAAATTAGTGAGTTTTTACCTGATGTTTTTCTAAAAGCGGTACTAACTTTTCCGGATCTTTAGTCACGCTTTTCGGGACAATTACTAGGGTACGGCTTTGTAAAAGAGGTCCCCAAATTTCGGGAACACTATCGACGAAAGTAAGGGAAGTTTTAAAAACACATCGTTTTTCATCATCAGCGAATGGAAGTTCTCTCCATTGCCATTGTAGACGATTCAATAGAGTAGCATGCGATATAAGCACACCTTTAAGAAGATAAATGTGTATATTACAAACAATTATGCTCTTTTAGATTCTTGCTCTTTTACAAACTAAAATATCACAATTTGTTACTCTTGTCTTATATTTTTCTATAATTTAAACTATAATAGGATTAATATCCTTTTACAGAAACACAGTTCTTATTGAACATGATATTGTAAAAATATTCTATTACGACATTCAGTAACAAATAACGTCAATTTATAATGAATAAAAACGAGTATGCACGCGTTAAATTGTATTTTTTACGTTGTATTATATAATTAGTGTCTATAATACAATGTGGTATTATTATATACCTTTGGAAATTCCTATACTTCCGGAAGTATGAAGAACCATAGCTAGTTGATTCAAGCTCTCTTTAGTTTGTAATGCATCTTCTTGTTCTTGTTTAGCTTTCTCCAAAAGTTGTTTATACGTCACGACTAAAGCTCCCTCATAGATTGATAAATCCGCTAAGAGCAGAATCGTATTTTTAGTTAATTGTTCATATTGAAGGAATAAATAAAAGCGCAGGAAATATCAATTATCTATTATTTTGAATTATGTCCAATCAAAATGAAGGTTTTTTCGCACATATTTATACCTGAAAGAATAAAAAATCTCAAGGTTTTTTTGCACATATTTATACAACTGAAAGAATAATAAAATCTGCGTTCTGCAAATTGTTTTGAAACAATCCACCATTTGCTTTCAGTAAAAACTAATCATTATAATATATAGATCTATATATACACGAAAACTGCGCGAGTTTATATATACACGAAAATTGCGGGAGAAATCACATAAGTGTGGTAAGAAAGAATTATTACGTAGATATCTCACAATTATTAAATCCTTTATCTGCTTTATCACATATTGTACGCTTATTAGTGGCGAACGTGTAGGTTTGATAGCATCGTTTTGACCGTCATTAAGCTGGCACAGCCATTTTAGCACAATTAAATGCGATTTATAAAAAATTAATTGCTACTTTGGTAGTTTTGAATGACCTCTCCCGATTGACCTAAAATTTTACACATAAGTATTGTTTTCGATGTAAGAAATAAAGTACGCGTGGTCCCAACTTCGGGAAATTAAAAAAAAAAATTATGAGCACTTATCGACTAATAAAATGATTCTATATGATATATACGACATATAAAAAATATAATATATATATATATATAGTATATATAATATGTATAGCACGCGTAGAATGTTGTAAACCCATGTGGCAACTCGTCTCGCGTGGAAAGTGTATGCGTGGTGGTAGTAGGTTCCGCCCCACCCTGCGGGGATTTCCACCTTAAAAAAAACTAACTAACCCAACCCAATTGTTGTATGAATGGAAAAGTATATGCGTGAATACCATGGATTCACTCTTTCCTACCCAGAACAAAATTAATGAAAGATTTATTACTTTAACCAAAACGTTTTGGTTACAATTACCGGTAAAATTGATAAATTTGCTATAATTTATCACATTTACCACTGTATCTTGAAAATTATGCACAAAAATTGGTAATTACATATAATTATCGAATTTATCACTTTTATATTAGTAACAAATATATCATGTAGAATTTTAGTCGATAGTGCTATCATAAAAAAATTTTTTTTATTTCCTTAAGTTGGGACCACGCAGATTTATTCCTTACATCGAAAACAACTTATGTCGACTTACTTTAGGTCGATCGGTAGCAGGAGTCATTCGGAAATATACCCGCTATTTTTTTGCTACTTAATTGCCTTATTTTCGATTTTTTTGCTTCAGTCGATTTGCTAAAAACAATGGCTAGTAGTTTATAAGACTAGAGGTAGCACTGTCATTGTTTTCAGTAATTCGGCTCGAGCAAAAAAATCAGAAATAGAGCAATTAATTAGCAAAAAATTGCAATTAATTTTTATGTAAGTCATTCGATTGTGTTGAAATGGCTATACCAGCTTAATAGACGTTCGGTTTTGATTAATGGTAGTCACGTTAATTTACTACAAAGTTGAAATATCTTTAAATAATGAGATTATGAGATTTTGTATAAAATTTTGGTACATTTCGTACAAATTGAAGTCAATATAAAATAATTAAAATCAATGATGTGAAATTATTACACATTAACACTAAATAAAGTGAAAATAATATAACTTGATTATTTTTGAATATTTTATATTTTCGTTAAGGGGCTACATCCACCTAGAGGCCCGAAAAATAGGTCGAAATTCAGATTTTTTTTTTCAGAAACTATTAGTGGGAATGAAACGAACTTTGTTTGTACTTAAAGATACATGTTTTGAGAGCTTTAAAAAAACTTTTTAATTAAAAAATTTTCAAACAAAAAAGTTATGGTCGCCGGCAGATGATAAGTTTTTTTTTACACGTTCGGCGGTGGACATCAGATCTGGAAAACCGCTCGATGGATCGTTTTGAAATTTACACAAAATACGCTGAGAAACATTTAGAGGTCGTCGACGATCGCCGATTTTTAAAATCGATTTTTTAAACAAAATGGCAACGAAATGAAACTCAGGTATAGACAATTTGTGAGAAAATGTAGTCATTTTTACGTAATTATTAAAAAATAAAGATCGATTTAAAAAAAGTAAGATTGTCAACGACTTCTAAATGTTTCTCAGCGTATTTTATATAAATTTCAAAACGATCCATCGAGCGGTTTTCCAGATCTGATGTCCACTTCCGAACGTGTCGAAAAGAAACTCATCATATCTGCCGGCGGCTATAACTTTTTTGTGTTTGGAAATTTTTTAATAAAAATTTTTTTTAAAGCTCTCAACACATGTATCTTTAAGTACAAACAAAGTTCGTTTTATTCCCACTAATAGTTTCTGGAAAAAAAATATCTGAAATTTGACCTATTTTTTGGGCCTCTAGATGGATGTAGCCCCTTAAAGAAATAAAACTAAAAATTGTGGTATTTTCAAATCCTATATATATTTAAAGATATAGCTTCGCATGAATTAGATTAGAGCAACATATTATCTTTTCTATATTCACATTATGGATATTATAACAAACGACAAATCACTTATTTAAGATTAACTATTATAGAATTCTAAGATTAATAATTTAGGATTAAAAATATTATTAAAGTTTAATCTTTAGAAATTAACATTGTAAAACATTAATATTGTAAAACATTGGCACATTTCATATTTAACTGATTCTTCTATTTTCTAGATAAAAGCAGTAAAACTGCATAATAGATAAAACTGGAATAAGAGATAGGTAAATAACTAAATAGATAAATAACTAAAAATAATATTAAAAAATTACATAAAATTAAATGTAGAAATCGAATAATGATAAACTAAATTTGTTATGATATTTATTTTGGAACACTTTACGATGTAAAAGAGGACATTTACCTTTTTCCTCGACCACCATTATTAATGGTTGCGCTTCTTCGAGAATGTGTTTCACTCTAGACATCGGAAATTCCGCGTCCAAAGGTAGATAAGCCATTCCTGCTTTCAGTACACCAAGTAATACAGTTGGAAACCAATGCGACGGGTTCATGCAGACAGCTATTAATGACTGAGAAGTTGTTTCAGTCTTTTCGTACTTTTGTAAAGCTCGTGCCAACTGATTGGTGATGTTATCCAATTCTTTAAAAGACAGCACGTATTCCTGGCCGGCGTCATCTGTATCGAGTTTCCAACAATGTTTAGATATAAATTTCCTTTCATATATACAATGATCACATTATCATAGGCATTATTTAATACAAATGGTTATTTAAATTGTCAAAAAATTTATTCTAGACCACTTTTTCGATGTGACTTTTATTATATTTTATATCGAGAAGCAAATTCCCTTACCTTCGTAATATAACGCGGTTTGATTTGGATGGACTTTTGCTGCACGACTGAATAATTCATGCACTAAATCTTTTTTCTGATTTCTTCCTGTCTGCTGACCTCTTAAGATTGATGGCTGATGCAAAGTACTCATTTTTAAATGATCGTAGAAATTGTAACTTCTTGCTTCAAATGTTAGCAAAGATCTAAAATTTAATTTAGAATAAAAATTAATAAGCACGTATTTATTATTAAATTTATAAACACATGCTAATACTTTCGAAGGTGAAATCTTGCTTTTTGAAGCTGATAGTTTTATAAAAATTAATTGATTATTTTATATTCTGCAAGACAAAAGTTTACATTTTGTGATAAGATTTGTGATAAAAAGTGTGTAAAGAAATATTGATATGCACACGGAAAAAACATTATGGTATTGGCACACACAAATCTGATTGTGTCAACCAGTAAATTAAATTAAATAAGTCATATCAACCATACACATAATTACCGCTCAAAAATAATTAGGATGCAGCTAGGTTGTTTACTAAATTTTTTTAGTTGTGTGCACTATATCATTTTTTCCGTGCACGTTAATTTATTTTAGAGATAAATTATTTTCTTATTAAAATGCTCAATATATCAATTGCACTAAATATTTGTGTCTGAAAATAATACATAGTCAGTTGCATAAGTTACTATATATTATGTAAAACTGGTTATCATTTTTTATATAAGATGTTACTATAAAGAGAAATCTAAAAAAAGAAAGGGTAGCTTTTTGGTGGACAAATCACGTAGTCGCAAAATCAATTCTGTCTCAAATAATCAACATTAGGATAATCTGATGTGGCACATTTAAAAAGAGATGTTTGTTTTAATAAACGATTATTATGATCGTTTATTAAAACAAACATCTGGAAGCAACAATGATCTTGAAGCAATTAATAAAGGATAAAGACATATACTTTATTTACCCCAAGGGGTCTTAAAGGGCGTTTTAAAGGGATGTATCCAACCCTGTACAACTCATCCATTACTACCCTTCTCTTCTCACTTAACCCTTTGGACCAACGGTTTAACGTCTCTTTTCGAAAGACGGAGCCCAGTTTTTCCATCTAGGGTTACCTCTCTCCGCTATATGGGGAGGGGCAGCGTTTTTGCTAAGAAATTTCTCAGTGGTTTAGCGGGATTCGAACCCGGTTCTTCGGATTACGAATCTGGCGTTCTACCCACTAGATCAGCTATCACCCCCTCCAGCAACTGCTAATAATTAGTTAAAATTGATAATTCTATCTTTATTCAGTATAACTGAAAAGCTATCCTTAATTATTCCAGTAGGTAATTTAATAGTTATATAATAATCTTTAGAGTAATTTTCCTTTCAATTATCGCTGTGAGATAATGAATTACACTACCCATTTGATTTTTATATTATTGTTACGTTTTGTCAAAGTTAAGTTTATTTGTCCGTTTTTGGGTCAAAACATTTAAGTTATTTACCTGGGATTTGGACTAGGTTGCGTGATTAATTCAGTCCGAAGAGATATCAAATTTTTATGTTTTAAAACGAGGGTCAGATTTGTTTATTAACCCATTAACGCCAAAGATTGTTGATTTTTCAACATGATTTTGAACCTCATTTTTACGCCTGTAACAGAGGAATAAATAGATCAACGTTAGTGTTCCTTATATTGTCGGATGCTGTAACAGAATTTGGGCTTAGAATAGAGAATTTCCAACTTATACAAAATTAAATATGGCGGCCTCTGTACAATGAAATGAGAAAAAATTGTTCATTTTTAATGTTTATGATTTTTTTTTGGACTGAAATCGCGCAGAAATCTGGAATATCGCTCAACCATCGGTGCACAAAATTGTTGCCCCTTTTCTGGGCATGAATGAGGATTAAAAGAAATCCTATTGCCACAGTCTTTGACAGCGACAGGTAAAGGAAGGAAATCTCCTGTTGCCACACTCTTTGGCAGCGACAAGAATATCAAGAAATTACTGTTGCCACGCTCTTTGGCAGCGACAGTTAAGAGATGTGAAATTAAAGGAAATTACAGTAAAATTAGTTTTGAAAATTAAAATTAAAATTACCTTTTTGGGCGGCAGTGTGGTCTAGAGGTAGAGCACCAGACTCGTAAACTGAGGAACCAGGTTTGAGTCCACTAGAGCCATGTAAACATGGAATGTTTTTCCGAAAGCTGCGCCCCTCCGTGCAAGATAGGCTCTTGTGCGGAGCAAACTGGGCTTCGTCTTTCGGAAAGATACGTTAAGCCGTTGGTTCAAAGGGTTAAAGTGAGATGAGAAGGGTAGTATTGGATGAGAATTGAGTAAAGGGTTGGGAACGTCTTTACAAAACGCCTTGCAACCCTGAGGGGAGTCAATAAACGTTTTTATCTTTTTTTTTAAATTAAAATTACCTTTATTCATGGAGAATACGTTTACAACTGTTGTTTAAAATCTGGTTTATTGATATGATTTTAATTCGTGTTTACAATTGTAGTTGAGATCTTGTTTTAAAGATTTGTTGAAGTTAAAGTGTATTAGTGTATATATTAGACTGTCGGTAGATTAGGTTATGAACACAGGAAAATAACTCAACTAACTTTGATTTTTCGCGCCTATTTATACTCAAGTGGCGAGAACCTCCCCGCGCGAGCTTCTCACCACTTCTTTGTCTTACAATTAGTGTCCTAAAGGAGGAGGAAGGTCTTATCATTAGGTGTTATTCTATGCCCTGCGTACCGCGGCCTGAGCACCGTCTCCCATCAGAAATCGGATAATTAATCAATATTGATATCTTTTTTTTAACATTTCTGGTTATTTTAAGACTGAGTTAAATTTTGTTTGCACGTAACATTATTAAAACAGTTTGCGTTATGCGTAATCAATTATCGATCTCGTTAAAAATTAAAAATCAATTGGATTAATTTTATATTATTTAAATAGTTAAAATTCCCATAAAAACAGTGACAATAATGGCAAAATATTTACAGAACAAGCGTTATTAACGTATTTATGATAAGAAAGATAGTTTGCATTCCTGAATTATACTGTAGCATTAAAGTGTCGGCAATCTTGTCGCTGTCGCTATCGCTATCGCTATCACCTATTGTGCAAGGGGCTTAAGATATGAGATGTTTGTTTTTTTTTACACGTGGAAATGTTTTACGATAGTGTTGTCGTCGGAAGAAAAAAAGGAGTCATCGGAATTCCGTCTCGCCTTGACTCGATTTACATATAGAGGAAGGTTGTTCATACACACGTTAAAATGCGTACAATATGTGCACGTTGCACTTATAATATATTCAATGCTATCAATAAAACGCGAACTTTATTAGAAACGAAGGAAATAAGTAGCGAGTCGTTTAATCATAATATGCCGATGCATTATTTAAATATTTTGTTCGCGCGCGGATGTTGATTTTCACGCCGAACCGAGTGCCGGAATCGCTCAGAGAAAGCGAGAGGGATAACAGGCGGGAGCAAGAAATGGCAGAGCGTAGCAATAGATGGAAAGCGAAGAACACGAGGATGTCTGTGAATAACAGACAAAAGCGAATACTCGAAGGGTAAATAAAGACGATCACAAAGTTCCGTGCAAATTGTCTTTGCCAAATTCACCGTGGTACCGTTTATTTTACCAAACTCGTTACACAGTCGACTGATCGGACTTGCGCGAGAAGAACGGGTCGCCAGTGTCCATCTGGCCGAGTCCTGCAGAGGCCAACGATTCGCCGATAGTTGACAGTCAACGCGTGTATGTGATCCGTTGCCTTCACAATCTGATTTGCGTTCTTAAGTCCGGCTCGATTTTTGTCGATTGTAACGAGTATAATTTCTCGAGTTCGCTCGCACGTATTCGCTCCAGGCATAGAGTTTGCTCCGAAATTCTACTCAGGGAAGAAGCGGCGCGATTCTCTGATTGGCTCTAATTGGCCTGGTAACCATCTCTGATAGAAAATTATATCTGTATTATTTTTAATCGTGTTTTAATCGGTTCTATCGTTCTATATTTAGAAGACAGATAAAACATTAAGCGAATCAAATCGGTTTTTATTATTTTAGATCCGAATAAGGAAATAACTATACAAATTTTACAGCTATGAATCGTTTTCTATATGTACAATTATTGCCCGTCTGAATCAATTGTATATACACGATATAGTATATATCGTTATTTATGGTAATAACTTCACCGTATGCATTAATACGGATATGTAAGAATAAAATGATAGACATCTCATCGATATTTATACGACTTAACCGAACCAACACATCTATCGTTTCTTATCAGGATTTTCTGACATACAAATTATTATCTTTTTTACGGCAGCAATTCGGTTCGTTTTCTATCGTATATCAATGATATAAATTGAATCTGGATCAATCAATCGGCGATTAATTCGCGACAATGTCATTAGGCCGCGCATGATGGAAAGCGCTTCTCGTATTTAAAATACATCCCAGTCATAATATATGAGCGGACCTCCTGCGAGGCGAAAAGCAGCGACGCGGAATCGGTAGCAAAAATGGACGGCTATAAGACGAATTGAAAACCACCTCCAATCTATTTTGCTTCTAAAATAAATAATTATGCTGAGTTCTCAAATCAATTAAAACAAAGTATTGGAGAAAACTTTCATCTCAAGTTGCTTGGTAATCAAATAAAGATTTACTTTTTTAACTTAATCATACTTATTCTCTTCCAGAGGATAAGACATTAACATAACTTGAAAGGCCTATCAAATATACCGAATGTAACTGTCTCTAACGAATTAAAGAAACTTGGAATTGAAATTAACTCGTGCGTTTAACTCAACGATGAAAATAGCATTTACGCTACTTATAAAATAAATCTGAGTGCCAAATTTTCTCTCACACAATTAAGAAAGATTTGATACTTATTTTATTCAAGAATTTATTGGGACAAATTTATTAATCGTAAAATTATTTTGCAATGCTACCGATGCCAAGCGTTTGGCCACACGTTCGCTAACTGCTTTAAGAAATTCAGATGTGTTAAATGTGCTGAGAATTATCTCACATCGGATGGTAAAAACAACTCAAATTCCCCGGCAAAATGTTGCAACTGCTTGGGGGAGCACCCCGCAAGTTGTCTCGAAATGTCAATCATATTTAAAATTTTTAGAAAAACGAACGACCGCAACTCGCCCGTCTGGTCTGGCTTATGACT